GCCGATCCTCTGGCAGGCATGATGACGAGATCTGGTTTGTGTCGTCATCTCACCGGCTGAAGGATCAGCGTCAGCTTTTTCACTTTATAATCCTCTGTCTCCATTATGTGAGTGTAACATATTTGAATAAACAGATCAGCTTTATGCAGTTTTACACTATGTTTTTGCCCTTTGATTCTTCTATTTCCTATGCAGTATCTGACTGAGGGTGATTGTTCAGGAAGGGTTTGTTACCATCGTTCTTGTTATTCAGCACTATTTTATATCATTTAGAGACCCCGCACAGCTCACAGCTGGTAAGAGATTTGAACCATGTGGATGTGAAACCCCCTGGGGATTGTCACAAGCATGGAGTTTGTCATTTATACAAAGTTGGCTTGATCTTCATTGCAGCTTTTTAGTCATATCTGTTATGGGACTTGCACGTTGGACTTATATACGTATTGTATATATATATATATATACTTGGACGTATATATTTATTCACATTTTCTGTATATATTTACTGTATATGAAGCCTGATTTATTTACATTAACCACTTGCCACCCTGCCACTGTAGAAATACGGCGGCAGGGCGGCACTGGCAGGCAAAACCACGTTTTAAAACGCGTGTTTTGTAAACAGGGCGGCGGCGCGCCTTGCACGCACCCCCTATCTGTCCCACCGATCACCGCCGCGGATGTCAGTCGCCGGGTCACAGCCGGTCCTTAGCGGCTGTTTCCCGGCGATCGGCGGTAAACAGTGACAGAGAGCACAGCTGCAGTAGCTGTGCTGTCTGTCACTTCCTTGTCAGCTCGAGGACGAGCTGATCGAGACAGAAGAGTTTCTCTCTCTCGATCAGCGGTGTCCCGTCCAGTACACACCCCCGCCCCCTAGTAAAACACTCCCCCTCACACAGATAACCCTTCCCTGCAAAATAAAGTTAACCCCTTCCTCCCCATTGCCATTAGTACAGTGTCAGTGTTTTTTCTTTTTGCACTGATTAGTGTTTTTGGGGATGTCAGTGACCCCAAGTCAGTACCCCCCAATGTCAGAATGTGTGCTGCAGTCCCGCAGTCCCGCCATAAGTCGCTGGTTGCTGCCATTAGTCACTGATCGCTGCCATTATTAGTATTAAAAAAAACCCTAAAAATCCCAGTATCTTTCCTGCCATTTGTAAACGCTATAACTTTCATGTAAACCAATTAATTTACACGTATTGGTTTTTTTTTTTAGCAAAGACATGTCGCAGAATGCATTTTGGCAGAAATTTATGACTAAATTTGATTTTTGCATTTTTTTTTTTTTACTGGGCATGTTTTATAGCAAAAAGTACAAAATATTGTTTTTTTTTCCTCAAAATTGTCAGCCTTTTTTTTTTATAGCGCAAAAATAAAAACTGCACAGGCAATCAAATACCACCAAAAGAAAGCTCAATTTGTGGGGAAAAAAAGGATGTAAATTTCATTGCATGACCGCGCAATTGTCCATTAAACTAGCGCAGCGCTGTATAGCAGAAAAATGGCGTAAGTTGCAGTATTTATACCATAGTTTGTAGACGCTATAACTTCCACACAAAGCAATCAATATACACTTATTGGGATTTTTTTACCAAAAACATGTAGCAGAATACATTTTGGCCTAAATTTATAACCAACTTTGAGTTTACTATATATTTTTTTATAGCTGAAAGTAAAAAATATTGTTTTTCTTCAAAATTTTTGGCCTTTTTTTGTTTATAGCGTGAAAAATAAAAAGCGCACAAATGATCAAATATAAATACACAGAAAGAAAGCTCTATTTGTGTGAAAAAAAGGACGTAAATTTCGTTTGGGTGCAGCATTGCATGACCGCGCAGTTATCAGTTGAATTAGTGCAACGCCGAGTAGCAAAAAGAGGCCTGGTCATTAAGGGGGGTAAATCCTCTGGAGGTCAAGTGGTTAATACATAAAGACACTTTACTTTGTCTTTAAAAGTTGGAACAATTAAGTTAATTGAGTTAATGATAAATGCATTAGAAAATAATTTAGTTTATATTCTGCTGGTAGTTTGTAGGGAATTTTATAGTCCACAGACACTTATTTGGCAGTTCTCTGAGGAATTGTGCCAGTCTTTTTAAAGCTGAAAAGACAGTGATGCCTATGAGAGACGAATGTTAAGAGGGACTGTATTTTCTGGCACAGAAGACATCTATATTTTGGGGGAATAACAGACAGCTAATGGTTTATTTCACAGGTACTATTTTTCTGATATTGTGTAGTTTCCCAAACGCAGGCAAACCACAGTCTATTTCATTTAAAAAGAAAAGAAAACAAATCATGTATTTGGATGAAGCTATAATTATATGGGAGCTCTGCAGTGAATGTGTGATGCTATGTTATTCCTTGTTCTTCTACCAGCTGTTACCATTGTCACTGTGTTAGAAGTTTCCATACCGGAGTCGGAGGAACCAGAGTACAAAACTGACAGGTATAAAAAGTGAGAGCTGCAAGTGTATGAGATCAGAAGATTCATTTATTTTCACTTGCATAGAAAATACCAATCCAATCACCCTTCACACAAGCCATCTTCTGCAAAACGTATCTGTGCTACTTTTTTTTTTTTTTTTTAACAGTGAGTGAGAATTCTGTAATGACACTGAACACAAAAGCATGAAAAATGGAACCATTCAATGAATATTCTATTTGTTCTTAGAACCTGGTTGCCTGTTAGTTGCCAATACAAAACAGTAGAAAAAAATCTTTCTGGAAACAATATAGAAAACCAATAATAATGCCAATGGGTGTGGAAATTCGGGCTTTATCACAGACTCTTTTTTTTTCAGGCAGCTCTTGGAGCTTGCTTATTGAAAGTACCTTATTAGTTGCCTATTTATTTTACAGCTGCAGTGTCCTCATGGTTATACCTTAAAATTAAAAAAATTTGAGGTCTTCCAAAAGTCTACACTCTAACACAGAAGCATTATTTAATTTCCAATGTCCATATTTAGCCACTTCAGCTCAAGAAGGTTTTACCCCCTTTATGACCAGGCCATTTTTTGCTATACCACACTTTTTCCACACAAATAGAGCTTTCTTTTGATGGTGTTTGGTCTCTAGTGGGTTTTTTATTTTTTGCTATATTTTTTGCTATATAAACAAAAAAAGACCGAACATCTTGAGAAAAAAAAATAGTTTTTATATTCTGCTATAAAACATATCCAATAATTAAAAAAATAATTATGTCTTCATAAATTTTTGGCCAAAATGTATTCTTTGATAAAAAAAAAATCCAAATAAGTGTATATTGATTGGTTTGGGTGTTACAAACTATGGTATATCTACTGGAAATTTTTGTGTATACTACTAATGGCAGTGATCAGTGACTACTTATTATGGGACTGCAGGAGTGCGGAAGGCAATCTGACACTAACTGCCACTGACATCGCCGGTGACATTAATACAGTAATCAGTGATAATATACACTGTCACTGTACAAATTACACTGGCTGGGAAGGGGTTAACAAGGGGTTAAATGTGTGCAAGTGTGCTGCTAAACGATCTCTACGTTTCTCATCTTACAGATCTACAGATCGCTCCCTCTTTACAGAGCTCTGGGCTGTGATTGTACACCGCCCATCAGCAGTTCCCACCGTGAATCATTGGCTGGAACTTGCTGACAGGCTCATGCTGTGCACAATCACAGCAGGTGCCGGGGGGAGGGGGACAGGCGTGCATGTCCGAAAAAAAGGAAATAGGCAGTAGCTTTGCCTACAGCTGCCACCAGTCTTCATTAAACTGCGGCCAGGTGTAAAGTGTTACTAAACACATGCTTGTTATACTCACTATGGAGCCTAAGGGGGTTAATCCTCTGTATTGTGTAAAATGCTGTCTAATCCTCTCTTCTCTGATCTTCCTCTTCTTCCAGTGCCCCCTCTTATCTCCTGATAAGACACATGCTGAGTTTGGCGTGTATTGCTAGAGAAGTTTTTTTTCTTGGGAGAGTGCATGTGATCAACATAGGGCCACTCAGCACTATCCAGACAGAGGTCAGGGGTTCTGCATCTTCCTAGAGCAAAAAGAAAACACCTCCTACAAGCTTTAACCAGTGATAGAAGTCACACGACTGCTCTAACTGCTGATAACAAAAAGGTATTTTGCAGATTATATTTACTAAAACAATTGCATTTCCAGGTTCTGTGTACTGTGGGAGACCAGGTATAGTGAATGCAGGGTCCTGGGTTTAGTAACATTTTAAGTGCTTGTAAAGGTTAAATTTTTTTATTAAAATAACAAGCATGCTATACTTACCTCGACTGTGTAATCGTTTTGCACACAGCAGCCCCAGTCCTCCTTCTCTCGGGTCCCCTACCTGAGCTCCTCCTTCCTACCTCCGAGTGCCCCCATAGCAAGTGGCTTTTGCATGCTGGCTTCATAGACACACAGAGCATAGCTTGACACCATCCCTGCCCCCTCCTCACAAGCTGTGATTGACTGCATTGGGAGCCAATGACTCCCGTTGCTGTCTCTGAGCCAATAAGGAAGAGAGAGAGCTGAAAGGGCCACTGCTTTTGTGCACACCGTTGGATCAGGATTGGGCTCAGGTAAGTATGGGGGGGGGGGGGCTGGGGGAAGCTGCATGCAGAAGGTTTTTTACCTAAATGAAGGGAATGCATTAATGTAAAAAGGCAGAAAGTGACATCGTGTGCCTATAAAGTCATAAAAACAAATTTGCACCCAAAACATATGTTGTCTTTTACTACATATCTACTGATAGGTAAGACCCCTAACATTTTTTCAGTATAGATTTATATGCTGCTTCAACATATTTACACAAGTATTTGGATTTTTCAGCTACAACTACTTTTTAGCTCTTGATTTGAAACCAAACCTTTAACCTTTCATGTTCTGGTGGAGCTAGAATTTATACATGGTAATTTTTTAATTATTTCTGTACATGCAAGAACCAAGTATCTCATCTAGAAAAGTGCATTTTATATCAGCTAACAATTTTTTTTAACCATTTTTTCTTTAATTAGGAGATGGAAGGGTTGAACACAACCACGATAACAGAGTTCATTCTTCTTGGGATCACTGACCTCCCATGGCTCCAAAAAATCATATTTGTTCCAGTTCTCATCTTTTATCTTCTTGACATATTAGGAAATCTCACCGTTGTTTTCCTTGTGATTAAAGACGTGACTCTTCATTATCCAATGTACTTTTTTTTAGCTAATCTTTCTTGTATTGATATCCTGTTCTCTTCTAACACTATACCAAAAATGATGACAGGGATAGAAAACACAATATCTATCAAAGACTGCATTGCTCAGATGTATTTCTTCCACTTTTTTGGATGTTGCGAAGGTGTTCTTTTGGCTGTCATGGGTTACGATCGATATGTAGCTATCTGCCAACCTCTTCGATATGTAGTCATTATGTGTAAGAGTTCTTGCATCAAACTAGCATTGATTTCCTGGGTTGTTGGCTTCATTTATTCATTAATAAATGCAATCATGACATCAAGGCTTACATTTTGCAGCAAGAATAACAAAGTGAAACATTTCTTCTGTGATGTTAAACCAGTAATAAAGTTGGCATGTGAAGACATCCATGTCAATGAAATCATAAGGACCGTTGTCAGTGGATTTGCAAGTATGAGCACCTTTTCCCTTACCATTTTATCTTACTGTTATATAGTTACCCATGTCATTAAACTGCATTCTTTACAAGGTAGATCCAAGGCTTTCTCCACATGTTCTGCTCACTTGACTGCTGTTGTCCTATTTTATGGAACAGCCGTGTGCACTTACCTTGGACCCGCTTCAGATACATCAATAGAAAAAGACAGAATAGCAGCCATAATATTCACTTTGATCACTCCAACAATCAATCCCATTATTTATACACTTAGAAACAAAGGTATTAGGAAATCTTTGAAAAAAACGTTAAACATTACCTCTTAAAAAATAATAATTCAAAGAAAGTTTTAGAATCGGATTTCTAGTCAACATGGTGCTTGATACCACAATATGCAGTGTTTAGCCATTTATAATCATACAATGCAAAAGCATATCCTTTTTGTCAGACTTATAATGAATGTTCTTTTATGCCTTTAGAAATGAAGATATCAATTGTGCAATCTTAAAGCTGAAATTAATGCAGTTATGTATTTATGAACTCATCATTAGGCCTGTTGCAAGGGTAGGTAGGTGGTACATCGTCCATGTTTCCCTCCTTGCTGGGTGCCAAATGTGGGTAACATAAAAGGGCCAGGATGGATTCATAAAAGGGCCAGGACAGGATGCAGCTCTTTTCTGCGAGGCATGGTTCACATCAGACAGTGCTTCTTGAAACCAGTAAACCCAAAACAGGTGTGTGTTTTTTAAGGGCAGGACAGCTGTCAGCAACACATCCAATATCATCCCACTGATTGGAGTCAAGGTTGGCTCACTCCTGGCTCCAATTAGCTCTGGGAGAAGTCATTAAGCTAGGGCCTCACATACTTTTTCCTCCTGCACTGTGAATGTTTACATGTTATGTGCAATTAAACCACGGCAACATCTAATGTTTGTGTAGTATTATGTTCAGCAGACTGTGTTCTTCTATTGTTGTGACTTAGATGACGTTCAGAGCACATTTTATGCCCAATTCATGCAAAACTCCACGTAATCCCAAGGGGTTCACATACTTTTTCTTGCAACTGTATGCAATGCTTATCAATGCCCCAGGATAAGGCAGGGGATGCTTTCAGGGATAACTGAATATTAAGGTGGAATTCTAACTCAAAGATAGCTGTACACAATGTACACTTGAACAGACAACTGAACTCTAGTTTATTCTTTTGAGCACCATGTCAATGTACACAACTGCTGTCACTTATTGCATTTAGGAGGGACATTCTGAGCCTATAAGAATACGAGTCCATCCAGGAATAAGAGTAAGATCTCAGGTGCATGAAAGTGTTTGCAACTTAGGGCTTGTGGGAGTAGAAGCGATCTCCAAATAGTACATGAAAAACAAGGAAAATACAGAAACGCCTCTAAAAGTAAACTGTTAAGATTTATTGTAAAGGAAATGTGACAAGAGCCACTTTCATTAAGTAGATTAAAAGCAAAGGAGTGCACCTGACAGGTCATCGTCAGTGTTTATGCCCAGAAACATGTTGCGATACGCCCGGTGACGTCATCACATCTGACGCTGTGATTCACGAGCGCTCCATCCCTCCTTCCTGGTATCCTTCCATGCTCAGTCAGGCTCCAAGGATCAAGATGAGAGGTAGCTCGAGTGGCAGCTAACACAGCTACAGCATGAGAGCCCAATCCTGTCTCACTGGGATGGACTTCTTATGTGTCTGCTTTTAATCTACATAACGTGAGTGGCTCTTGACACATTTCTTTTCCAATGAACCTTAACAGTATACACTTAGAGACGCTTCTGTATTTTCCTTGTATTACATGCTCAGCCTATACCCACTCTACCTTTCCAGCGTACCTCCCCTACATCTCTCCCAGTAATGGAATGGAGCCTCGCCATGCACCTAGCGCTGACTTCATACATGCACTTGCATAACTCTTCCTCATTCATACCTGTGCCTAGGCCAGGGACCTCTGCATGCTGATATGCCCCCATTTCTATGGGAGACGGCCTGCCAAGGAAGGCAATGCCGACAACAACTCCTGCGCTGCAAGAAGATTCCCAACCTTTCACAGGCAATTGCTTCACGACAGGCTGCTCGTAAACCCTTCATTACCCTTGTTAACCACTTACTGTCTACTGACCCAGACTGGAAACCAAATGTGTGCTGGTTACTTGCATACACCACTTTAGTAACTTCAGACCAGGCAAAGTTTCAAAGCTTTACTTTAATGTGAACATTTCAGATGACTGAAACACTGCTCTTATAGGAAATGCTCCAGCATACTGGTGACTTCGGGGAAGACTGCAAGTCCCAGTAATCCCCCTACATTGTGGAAGATCTCTGGATGTAGCGAGCAACTGGACACAGGCACAGGACTTTGTGGCTCCCCATTGGGCTCTCAGGCAGCTCCATCCACTCTTGCTTCAAGCGCATTAGCTCCACTGTACTCTCCTACATCTTGCAGGCTGTCTGTGTCTTCTTTCCAATGCAGCAGACTGTATGGAGTTTTACTAAAGCTGGAGAGTCCAAAATCAGACTCTCTTCTGCATAGAAACCAATCAGCTTCTAACCTCAGCTTGTTCAATGAAGCTTTGGCAATGAAACCTGGAAGCTGATTGGTTTCTATGCAGAAGGGAGTCTGATTTTGGACTCTCCAGCTTTAGGAAATAAACCCCTATGTGTCTGGACAGAGCCCTCTCACCTTTTATTAACAGTACAGAGAGAGAGGCAGAGCTCAGCATAATGTGTGGGAAACTGGGTTAACTCTTTCCCTCTGTCAGGACTTGTGTCATTACCTTGGTCACCTGCTATTCCGGTCACATTTACGGTGATCGGCAGCCAGGCTTTCTAGCTAATTAGGCTGCACCTGACATGGGCTGCTGGGAGCTATTTAGGAACTAACCTCAGTGCTTCAATGTTCTTCTTGCAAGCTGTGTCAACCTGATCCTTGTTCCTGTATCGGTACTTAACCCTGAGACCGGCTCTTAGGAATCTTTTACATGGGCAGTCAGTCTTCAGATGGATCCAGACTGAATCACACTGTATATACATGGATATTAGTTGGCGCAAATTAGATGTCTACTGTCAGGTCCATGTCCCCATTATGGGGGGGGGGATAAAGGGGAGGAAGGAGAAGACCACTGCTACATCCGGCAGAAGATCCACGGGGGCACCAGGATGGTTGTCATTTCAAGGCTGGCCTTCAGAGTAGAGCAGAAGAAAGTCTCTAATATTACATGTAAATAAAGAGGTAGAGGCACCACTGAGTGCAGACCGTTATACACTTTATTAAAACAATTCTGTAAATTTGCACTCACATTTTTTAAGGTAAATGCAGGCACATCTGAAGTCCAATATAGTCCTACTTGATCAGTATGCATAGACTGCGGGTCAGGGCATCCGATTCCAAGGGCTGGTGATGTGCGGTGGAACGCAGGTATAATGCAGCGTTTAGCAACCGAAAGTGATGCAACAATGTTTCAGAGCATGCGCACCAACTATGGGGGCACAGTTCATTTTCAAGCTAACTAGACAAACAGGTGTGCTGACTATTATATTTTGTGGGACAGTGTGACCACCCCCTGTTGGATAAAATTTATTGGTACAACAATGGGACATTAATTAAAACAATTAGAACATATGTCATCTAGTGGTTAATATGTACAATACAATAAAACTATACTATTGCACTATGGTATAATGGCTGAACCGATATAGATGCTGCAAATAGATTTAAGTACAGATGATAATACTAAAAGTATTTTAGAAAATATAAAGAACACCTCAAATGTATTTATGAGACCATGTGAAAATTAAAAAACATATGAAATTAAAAAACTATAAACCATGAATGCCTTTGGGACTATTCTGAAAACATATGTATTGTTGAATAATATGAACATAAATTTATATTGACAATGAATAAATTATCGTTGAACTTAAAAACATCAGATAAAATAAATTGCTAAAACAATATATATAAAAAAAATATATATATATGAATGTAATGTATGCACATTCATAGACAAAACGCTGTCTATAAATGTACACACTAAGGGGGTAAGGAATGGGGGGGGGGGGGGGTGTTTACTCCACTATGTAAATGGTGTCTATCTAATAGTATACTTACTTTTTTTGGGAGAGACCACCCACCACCCAACCAGCTGTATGGAATGAAAGAGAGATGTATGTGAAAATTGGAAGTAAGAACAGAAGTTGAATTAAAATGAATAAGGAAATAGAAGGAAAATATGTATTGTTATAAACAGTGGATATCTCTATCTCTTTGTTTAATCCAACAGATGATAACGTGTCTAGGGTATAAAACCAGTATGTCTGGCATTCACAGAGCTTGTGCAAGTGTTCTGCTTCCAGGAGACTTTTGCACATCCAAATGGATGAAAATCCTTTCCAAACACAGACAGATGAGATTTGATCAACTTACCCATAAAGTGCCAATGGCATCCTAAGATATTAAATATATGAAAACTCTGGTCCCTACACCCTGGTTAGACATCCTCAAGAAAAATACACTTTGGAGAAAGA